ACAATCAAATCACGCTTAAAGGGGGTGTGTGGAAATTAGTCTTTTCTAAAAGCATGAATTTCTACTAAAAAAGTCCAAAATCTTTGTGAGATTGATGAAAGCTGTGTAGAAGGGCTTTTCTCACTCTCTTGCATCCCAGGCTTCATTTGCAACTCCGGTTGCTATCATTTGCCTACCTAGCTCAAACTAACGAGCTAGTGTAGACATACCCTAAAAGGGTATTACAAGGAGAAAAGGAAAAAATTGTTCTCCTTGGCCTCTGAAGTTACATCTACACTGCAGAGTTTTTGAGCATAAACAACTGTTTTTGCACAAAAACTCGCAGAGCATCCACACTACAAGTGTGTTTTTGCGCAAGAAAGAGTACAGTAGATTATCAGAAGACAGGGCTTTTTGCACAAGAGTTATTCCTCTTTGTACGAGGAATAAGCCTTTTTGAGCAAGAGCTCTTGCGGAAAAAAGGCATGTGCAGACATTCTTGTGCAAGAAACCCCTATCAGATAAAGCACAGGTGCTCTGATGGCCATTTGCAAACTGGCCATCAGAGCTTTCTTGTGCAAGAGCGTCCATGGCAGTGTGGACGCTGTCTCTCAGTGTGGACACACATCTCTTGCGCAAAAGCAAATGGCAGTGTGGACGCGCTCTTGCACAAGCATTTTTTGCAGAAGTTCTCTTCCACAAAAAGTTCTTGCTTAAGAAGCCTGCAGTGTAGACGTAACCTGAGGATAGACAAGAAGCAACGGGCTTATATTGCAGCAAGGAACGTTTAGGTTGGACATTAGGAAAAGCTTCCTAACTGCCAGGGTGGTTAAACACTGGAATCAATTGCGTAGGGGGTTGTGGAATCTGCGTCACTGGAGATATTTAAGAGCAGCTTAGACAGACGCCAGTCAGGGATGATCTAGACAGTCGTCGGTCCTGCCTTGAGGGCAGGTGACTGGACTTGATGAACTCTTGAGGTCCCTTCCGGTTCTGTGATTCTGTGCTTTACCTCACAAGTCTGTTTTGAGAACGATATAATTGTTTGTGAGGAGCTAAGTTTTTGTGGCAAAAAAAGTTATTTAGTTATTCGAATACATAGGGGAAATTTCTTTAAAATTTGAAATGGAAGCAGTGGTATGAGCTTGCATAGCAAGCAGGTCATGCCCCATTCAGGTAATTAGGAGTCCTATGGAACAATGTTTAAGAGATTAGTTCACTGTGGGTAAAATCTTGATTTGGAAAATTACTTTCTGCTTAATAAAAACTTGTTTTAAACCATCTGATGAATGTAAGTTTGTTCTAGATATTAATATTTGAGGTAAAGTTCATTAATCCGATAACATGTAAACAAGCACATCCAAGTTTTTCGCAGTAAATTTCATGAAAATTGCTAGTAGAAGTAAATATTAGGCCTTTATAATGTCTCACAAAAAACTTACATTTTGGGAATTTGTTATTAATGGAGAGCTTTCTAAATAGTTCTTCTGAAGATATGCAGAAGATAAAAAATTTTGGCATATATTGACATTTTTCAGTGAACGTAGTGGATTATTATGTCGGGAGGAAAATATGGAGGCACTGACTGCACCATAATAAACAGGATGACCTGTAAAGAAGGAAGAGAGCTATATATTGTAATACCAAGGTGCTTAGACTTTGTGGCACCAAGAGCTGTGTGAGGAGGTTTTTTTATGCTTAAAGGTTACATTTAATTTGCACATATATTTACTGCTACTGAGTAGCAATTCTGCAGAAAAGGCCTGGGGATTACAGTGGATGAGAAGCTGGATATGAGTCATTAGTGTGCCCTTGTAGCCAACAAGGCGAATGGAATATTAGGTTGCATTAGGAGGAGTATTGCCAGCAAATCTAGAGAAGTGATTATTTCCCTTTATTTGTCTCTGGTGAGGCCACATGTAGAATACTGTGTCCAGTTCTGGGCCCCCTACTATAGAAAGGATGTGGACGCATTGGAGAGGGTCCAGTGGAGGGCAACCAAAATGATTAGGGGGCTGGAGCACATACCTATGAGGAGAGGTTGAGGGATTTGGGTTTGGTTAGTCTGCAGAAGAGAAGAGTGAGGGGGGATTTGATAGCAGCCTTCAACTTCCTGAAGGGAGGTTCCAAAGAGGATGGAGAGAGGCTGTTCGCAGTAGTGACGGTTGGCAGAACAAGGAGCAATGTTCTCACGTTACTGTGGGGGAGGTCTAGATTGGATATTAGGAAAAACTATTTCACTAGGAGGGTGGTGAAATACTGGAATGGGTTATAACCCTAGGGAGGTGGTAGAATCTCCATCCCTAGAGGTTTTTAAGTCTCGGCTTGACAAAACTCTGGCTGGATTGATTTTGTTGGGATTGGTCCTGCATTTGGCAGGAGGCTGGACTTGATGACCTCCTGAGGTCTCTTCCAGCCCTATGATTACTTATGTCCAGTTTTCATTTAAAAATAACTTTTTAATCTGTATTTTCCTTGATAAACTAGTAGCAACTTCTTATTTGAGCTGAGAAGCAATAAAGCATCTCAGCTGAAGAACTGAGAGGGGTGCTCTTCTAGCCCTTAAAGGGTTGCACTTGTGTGATATACAGTCTCAGGACCAACTGTAGTCAATGAAAAATACTTACTATTCTCTAGTATCCTTTAGCACTTACATGAGGTGGTTTTTTTTGTTTCCTTTCTTGGTAATGATTAATCTAACAGCAAAATACTCAGTGCAGGGATGAACAAAGCAACAATATGACCCACAAAAAAGAAGCTTCAATACTAGTAAGTCTCTCTTAAAAGTTAAGGTCAGCTTTAATCCATTAATGCTTTTAGATTGCTACTAAAAATGCTCCAAAATGAGCACTATATAATTTGCTTGTATAAAGAAATAATGAAAGTACTTTTGTGTTGCCTGTTTAATAACATAGCTTAAATATCTACATCTTCTGAAGAACTGAGCTATTTTGGATTTGAATTTGATAAAATATTTTGAAATTTTTAGACTTCCACATTTATAAATGTAAGTTCACGCCTACTCCCAAAACAACGCAATTCTAAAATAAATAATTGTATATAGTTGGTATGAAATTTGGGTAGAAAATAGATGAGATCTTAATTAGTACTGAGAAAATATCATGAACTGTGACTCTCTAATATCTTAATACACATTAATATTTTATGAACATTGAATAGATTAGAATAAAGAATCTTCTTGTTCCTGTAATTAAAATTTGTCACTGTTTTAAAGCTGCCTGATTTTGAACACTTGAATTGTAAACAAAGAAAGAAATGAAAAAAGCATGGTGAAGAATTACAATATTGTTTTCCATTTATATGGAAAATGAGAATAGTACCCCCTTTTTCTAGTTTTAATCATCTGTTAAGGACTTTGTCTTAATCTGATACGCTTATGTTGTTTGTACATAAAGAAAGTTGTTTCCCTGTGATACTTGATAATGATTTCATAAGTAAACCAATGTCAGCTAAAAATAAAGCGCAGACTTAAACAGAAGGGATTATTACATATTGGTGCAATTTAGCAGATATTTTTTGGCTTCTCCATTACTGGCCATTCATAAAGTTGGGATGTTATTTTGAAGATATACTCTAGTTAATCACAGCAATTGAAATTGAATAGTTGCAGGCCATAATTGTTTACAATAGTCCCTTCTGGTCTTTAAAAATCTGAATCTTTCAGGAAAATGTGAAAAATTTCTGTTTGCAGCAAATCCATATGGTCTAAGAGCATCTCTCACTACCTTCATGTAAGTTCCCAGTACAGTTCTAAAAAAGAAATCAAGATTTCCAAATACAATCCTAATGGAACATGAACAGCAAATGCTATGTATGTAAACATTTTTTGGGAAATGCATCACTGCTACAGCTCCATTGGTGGTAGCAACAATGGAAGCACTAGTGTATATGGAGCATAGACAATTTTAGTAACATACAGGGTGATAAAGCAACAGTGCCCTTTATACACTAGCAGTAACATAGTTAATACAGGTTGTAGTACCACCGGGACTCCGTGGTCCGGCATGAACCATGGAAATTTCTGGACCACAGAGCCCAGAAACAAGGAAGTCTGGCAGCGGGACAGGAGCGCCGTAGGAGGCATTGGCATCTCAGTTTGTGTATGGAGGTGTGGATGGGTGGCATGATGGGGAGTTCTGGCCCCACTGGTCATGGTGCTCTAGCCTGGGAGCGTCTGTGCAGCTCCAAACCCAGTGGCAGCCAGAGGGCTCTGGCCCTGTCTCCATCGACAGAGCTCCAGCCCCATTGTCTCCAGTGGCCAGGGGCTTCCAGCCGCAGCTGCAGAGCTCTGGCAGGGTTGCGGCCGGCAGAGGGGACTCGAACAGCAGCGGGGGCAGGCTTGAAGCCAAAGTCCGGTGGCAGCATGGGCCACAAGAGAATGAACCTTCCCTGGTCCGGCAAATCCCATCATTCTCGTTTGGACTAGCGAGGTCCAATCTGTATCCCCAACGATGCAAGATTCTCTCTAAATGCTCATGTAAGCAGATCTATATGTGTTCTAAATATATGGAATGTAGTTTAGAAAAAGAAAAAAGCAACCTCTTTTGCTAGTATGATCAGTCTAATGGAAAATTTCATATACATTAATTACTCTCTTTACCTTTGTTTTACTGCCCCCTGACTTCAGTCCTCTATCTGCACTTCCCCATTTTTATGCCAGTCCTTTATCTGTTTTTCAGAGTATATCAATGGAACAAATATTCAATCCTCAGACCAAAATCATGTTTATAAAATCTCTAAAACAATGTCATAAAAATTCATTACATTCTTCTGCATTTTTAGTGTGTTGTATGGTGAAATGTACATATTTTTAAAATCTTTTATACTACCACTGATAGGTACAGAAGACTAGAAAGCCGAAATTAATCACAGTATAGAGACCCTATGCAAATATAATTAAGTTTTCTGAATATTTTTGCACTTCAGAGCCTACCTTTACTGATTTACAGGTATATTTTAAAAAATGAAAATGGAAAAAAAAATCAATCCTTCTTTTTTAGGGTTGTACTACAGAAAATGCAAACTGGTTTCTAAGACAGAAGTCACCCATGATACCAAACTTTTCTGCTTAATGTTGCCACAGAGTACTCACCTCCAGGTTCCTGTTGGACAGCACATTTACCTCAGAAAAATTATTGCAGGTAAGAATAGCTGAATTTATTCACTAACATTACTTAATAAAAGTGCTTTTTCTTGATCATTAGCAGTGTGACACACTGACAGTTTCTTGCAATATCCTGAATGAACTTTATTAATTAAGTTAAATATTATTGATGTACATTGTATTCAAAATGCAGTTGTGTTACTGTGGAATTATATGTATGTAATTTAGAAGACTGACTAATGCAGTGTTTGTAAAGTAATAGAAACTTCAAAGGAGTTTTTAGATCAACATGTAGGAAGTGGATTTCCTAAGAGGAACCTAGGGATAAAAGGAATAAAAATGACCCACCCTTTTGAAATTACTATCTCAGGAGGAACACTAATTATCTGCCCTGGAAACTCGAGATCAGTACAGTTCAGAAAACTGTACAGTTATAAATTTTTTGTATTGGTGATCCCTTTAACACAGCAGATGTGAATGTGCCTTCTCCTTTTGTATGAGAAAGTGGGGATTTTCAATTTATGTTGAACACTATTATAAATGCTAGAGGCAAAATGGTGCTGGAGGCTTACAGCTCAATGTCTTGATTCCCTGAGGGGCAAGATCTCCAGTTTGAGATCACCTGGTATAAAGGAGGGACAAAACTTGATCTGTGTGTGCTTCAAGGCTGGCCCTATCATAAGGTGAACTGAGGCAGCCGCCTCAGGTGCCAGACTGTGGTGGGGGGGCGCCACTAGGATCCAGAGTGTAGTAAATTGTCTGCTGCTGGTGCATATGTGGGTAGCAGAGCAGTACCATGAGAGGAGTAGAACAGGAAGAAGGCCGAATTGAGACCTTTCAAAGTTTGGGACCAAGTGAGGGGGCCTGGGGCCGTCATTTGAGCTCCCCACCTCAGGTGCCAAAATGTTGTGGGCCGGCCCTGGTGTGTTTTTTCTGAGCGGATGCTTTAATGCACCACAAAAAATAGCCTGTTGAGTGGCACTTTAAAGAATTGCTTTAGCTAAAGTCCATGTTAAGGTAGGAGTGGTCTTTAATGAATTTTAGTGTTTATATAGGTTCTTTGATTGTTTTTAATATGTTTTCTTTGTAGTGTTTTAGAATAAAATAGGTATGTGTGGAAAAAACTGTGAAGTAACGTACAATTGTTGACAAAGAAAGCAAGCTGTCTTTCTCTGCTAGGAATAACATAAGGAAGCAGGGAACTGCGCAGCCTGGAAATATCCACTCAGAAAGGTCACCAAAGGAAAGAACTGAGTGGGGACCTGAAAGCCTGAGGGAGAGGTGCCCTTGCTAGATGATTGAGGGAAAACACACATTTGTCAGGTGTTCTGAACTTGTGATCAACAGAACTCAAATCTAGTTGTATTAATAAAATAAATAAACCAGCTTGTTTAATCATAGATTACTTGAACTGGAAATTACCTCGAGAGATCAAGTCCAGTCCCCTGCCCTCTTGGCAGGACCAACCATGGTCTATATCGTCCCTGATAGATGTCTGGCTAACCTGCTCTTAAATATCTCCAGATATGGGGATTCCACAACCTCCTTAGGGAATTTATTCCAGTGTTGTATTTGCCTATGTAAGCGGGGGAATGGTGCCGCTATTGTGGGGAACTTTCCTGGCTTCTGTTCCTAGTGAAATTGACCAGTGAAAGGATCTGAGTCCCCGCTCTCACTTCCAAAGGCCTCCCTGATACTGAGGGCTCCCCTTCCACTCTCCTGAGTAGCAGAGTCCTCGAAACAAGGCTGGGCCCAGGTTTTCTGGGGCTTAATCCCTGACCGTGTAATCAGTTGGGGTAGGGGCTAGGGTGTCTCCCCTCCGGGGTGCTCTCTTCACACAGGATGCTTTCTTGACCCAGTGATCATTTCATACAGTTCAAAGCAAATACAATTTATTAAACAACAACTGATTAAAAAGAAAAGAATGGTTAAATGAGAACACATAGTCCTGCTCTGTAGCATGGGGACATCACAAAGAGCAGTCTGCAGAGAGTAAGGACACTTCAGTCTGTTCCTTATTGGTCCCAGGGCTCTCTCTTAGGCCCTGGCTGTGCTGCAGGGAGGCTGCAGATTGGACACACTTGTTCTGGCAGTGACCACACAGCCTCAGGCTATAAGTTGCAGGACCCCTCTCCCATTTTGGCCTGCAGGGCCTCTTGGCTGATGGCATGTCCCTGCCCAGAGCCTCTTTTTCCCCCTTTGCTGGTCCCAGCTGCTCACCACACCCAGCTGCAGACTGTGCTGCTTTGCCAGACTCCAGCTCCTTGTGTTGCTTCTCTGACCCCTTTGGCTCTCTGGTCACTGCAGGTCTGCTGCTCAGCGCAGGGTCTGCGCTCCTTGGGCTGTGTGTGTCTGGCTCTGACACTGCAGATCTGTCTCTCCACACAGCTTGCTCTTCCTGCTGCTCTTCTCAGCTCTCTTTCCTTTTCTCACAAAGACCCAGAGAATCCCGGCTCACACAGAGGACGGGACCTGGCCTAATTCTCTCATTGATCTGTCCAACCTTTCAATCTGGTTGAGCTGGAGTGTTGGTCTCTTCCCATTGTCCCCGGGGTCTCTCAGTCTCAGGGCCCTGATTTCTCATAGACTCTTCCCCTTTTGGTTCTGGGAGCTGGCCAACCAAAAACTCCCACTGAGTTAGTAAGGGGCTAACAATCTCTCCTGTCTCCCATGATTTTTCAAAGATGATAGCTAAAGTTTCAGATTCCTCCTCTATCAGTTCTTTGAGTAATCTAGGATGCATTTCTTCAGGCCCCTGGTGACTTGAAGACATCTAACTTGTCTAAGTAATTTTTAATTTGATCTTTTTTAATTTTAACTTCTAAACCTACCCCATTTCCACTAGTGTTCACTATGTTAGGTATCCCTTCATCATCAAAATTTTTGGTGAACACCGAAACAAGGAAGTCATTAAGCACCTTGGAAATGGCAAAGTTTCCTATTATCGTTTCTCCCTCCTCACTGATCAATGGGCCTACCCTGTTGTTGGTCTTCCTCTTGCTTCTAATATATTTATAGAATGTTGTGGTGTTACCCTGTATGTCTCAAGCTAGGTTGAGCTCATCTTGTGCCTTTGCTTTTCTAATCTTGCCCCTGCATACGTGTGGTGTTTGCTTATCTTTATCCTTTGTAATTGGACTTAGTTTCCACTTTCTGTATGATTCCTTTTTGATTTTTAGATCATGCAAGATCTCCTCATTAATACCTGCAAAAGTCAAGGGAGTCAGTTACACTTTTTTTTGGTATGAACTCTTTCCTTAACTGTTATTTTTGTCTGTTCCCTTTTCTAGTTTTCCAGATAAGTAATCTAAAAGTATCTCCATTCTAGAGAGTGAGTTTGGAATTAAATAACATAAGAATGGCCATTTAGCCCAGTGGCCAATGCCTGGGGCCCCAGAAGGAACAAACAGAACTGTTAATCAGCAAATGATCCATCTCCTGTGACCCTGGCTAATAGCCTTTGATAAACCTATCCTCCATGAATTTGTCTAGCTCTTTTTTGAACCCTATTATATTCTTGGCCTTTACAGTGTCCTCTAGCAACGAGTTCCACAGATAGGCTGTGTGTTGTGTGAAGAAATGCTTCATTTTGTTTGTTTTAAACACAGGGTACCTTCTATTAATTTTATTTGGTGACTCCTGGGTCTTGTGTTAAGGAAAAGTTATTTACTTGTTGCCATATTTACTTTCTCTGCAGCAGTCATGATTTGTGGATCTCTATCATATCCCCAATTAGTCTCTTCTTTTCTAAGCTGAAATGTTCCAGTCTTATTAATCTCTCATATGGCAGCCCTTCCAAACCCCTAATCGTTTTTGTTGCCCTTTTCTGAACTTTTTCCAATTCATTGAGTGCTCGTGTAAATCCTCTGAGCTAAGATATATAGTTTTTAGTTAGTGAAAGGAATCATTTATTTTCATTAATTGGAAGAGTAAGATGTAGGGAGCATGGAACAGCAGTCATTGGTGGCCTTATGGTCTCTGTAGTAGCAGCCATCTTTCTTACCACAAAGGCATGTATGTATTTATTACTAATGAAAGATGCATATTGATGGGGGATAGACAGCTTCTGTCTTCAAGTGCCTCCTCTGCCACTAGCAGCAGCTGGGGGTTACAGGCAGTCCCCGGGTTACGTACAAGATAGGGACTGTAGGTTTGTTCTTAAGTTGAATTTGTATGTAAGTCGGAACTGGCTCCAGATTCAGCTGCTGCCACTGAAACTGATCGGGCTGACTACAGGAAGCTGGAGGCAGAGTTGCTCTGCCCCCAGCTTCCTGGAATCAGCCTGATCAGTTTCAACAGCTGCTGAATCTGGAGCCTGGGACAGAACAGCTGGGGCGCTGCCCAGTAGGTTCCCAGAGCCCCTGGGCTGCCCGAGCCCCTCCACGGCTTTGCTCTGCGTCTTCCTGGTCTGCAGACCAGGGAGATGCAGAGAGAGCCCCAGAGTACACGGGCGGCAGGACCGCGAGGTCCCGCAGTCCGTGTACTCTGGGGCAGCCCCGTTCGTAACTGCGGATCCGACGTAAGTCGGATCCGCGTAAGTCGGGGACTGCCTGTATTTCATTCCACCTGTGGGCAGCTACTTCAAGAATTCAGACCTGAAGGAGAGGTACTGGAACAGTGAATGGTAGCTGAAATAGCAGATTAAAGAATAGGAGACTCGGGACTTGCATCATCTTTTCCTTTCCCCGTTCAATGCTTGCAATGACAGATCCTGGAAGTCACAGCCTTATCCATACTAAAAAGGGGCAAGGGAAGATAAAAAAGCAAAAAACTCAGTGGCCTGTTGGTACTTTGTGTCCAATTATGCAGCCAATATAAAGGGGCCAGCCTGTTCTTGGAACACCTGATGCCCTGTGCTCCTTTTGAGAAAACTATACCTGTAAATGCTGAGACAAAACATGTGTAAAAGTAGCCAGAAAACACAAAATTGGAAAGTTTGTATTGTAGCCAGTTCGTTCCAGCCTAAGATGTTTATTCTCAAATTTAGAAAAAGGATGTAAAAAATGCAGTTGTCAAGGCTGTTCCCCACTCTGGCAT